AGCTCCCTCTTTAAAGACAGGCCACCAAGCGACTCTTCTTTTTAGAAAAAGAATACAAAGTGCAGGCTTCCTCTCTGCCCTCCCCACCCCCCCCACGTTTCAGTCCTTGTCCACACCGACAGCTGTGTCTTTAGGCGGCCAGGGCCGCAGCTGCTCCTCTAAGTAGCTGAGGGCTGCAGAATGCCAGAAGTCTCCTTTTCTTCCTCCCTCTCTCCCTTCCTTCCTCCCTACCTCCCTCTCTCCCTTCCTTCCTTCCTTGTATTAAAGTTTGCTGTAGTGTGTGTGCACTCATTGGAGAGAGACAGAGAGAGAGAGAAAGTGAAAAGTCACCCCCAAGGGAGGATGACCACCCTGCAATCCTTTCTCTGTTCTCCTCTTGGGATTTTGGGCATGCATGCACACATGCCTGGCATAATGTTCACGTTGCTGCATCCGAGACTCAAAAAGTGAGGTCAGCCATGCGGGATCCACCAGCCTTACCCTCCACACCGCCTGCTGGCCCCAGGAGAGTCTTTAAGCTACTCCTGTGACTGCCACCACTGCTGCCGGGATCATGGGATGGGATCATGGGATGGGCATGTAGGCTGGACCCAAATCCCCCCAGGTGGTTAAGGCAGGACTGGTGGCTCACTGCAAGCCCATACCTGTGTGCCTGCAGCCTGTGTCACCAGAAGTCCTCACTCTCTGTTTAAGCTAGGGTGCTTGTGCTCACTGGAGAGAGACAGAGAGAGACACAGAGAGAGGGAAAGTGAGAAATCAACCCATCGACCCCTCTCTCCCAGGAGAGGATGGCCACTCCTTTTCCTCAGGATTCTGGGCACACACGCACACACACCTGGCATAATTTTTAGGCTGCTGTGTTTAGGACTCGAACTACAGACTCAGCCATGTAGGATCCAGTGCCTTAGCTATCCAAACACTTGCTAGCCCTGTGCTGCTTTTCTTGCTAATAAGATAACGTATTTTTATTTTCAGGTGGTTGTCCTTTGCAGCAAATTTGTTGCCTGCCCGTCAGATTCAAAAGTGAACCACCAGGGGGCCTCAGACCGCCCAGAGGCTTGGCAAGAAAAAACACAAACTTGGGCCAGAGAAGTGGGCCTGGGGTGTGTGTGTGTGTGTGGGGGGGGGGGGCGAGGACCAGGGAAGGGAGCGAAATAAAGCACATGAGGGCCAGAGGACTTTGCAGACGTGCACTGCGTGAAGGCAGGCATGTTGCCATTCTGTTTTTGGCTTCTTGTGCCGCTCAGGCCTCCCCATGCCAGCTCTATCCTGAATGTGGACCCAGAGGTGCAAACAGCGGGGTAGCGGAGCTCTCGGTCAGGCTGAGACCGCCGGCGTTGGCGAGCAGAGGCGCGGTGCCACCTAGCGTCCAGCTGCGGGGTCGCGGTGGCTCCGGAAAAACCCTCTGCTTTGTAAGGAAGAGTGTCCTCAGCACCTAGAAAGTCTGGTCCCTTCTAGGAAAGGCAGAAACCAAGCCCCATTCTGAGATGAAAACATTTCTGATTTTCTTCCATGCTTTGTTTTCCAGATTTAAGGATTTTTGTCGTGTCTTGAGCTGCCAATAGGTTCATCCTAACCTGTTTCCTGGCTTTAAGTTTTAAGCAAAGCTCTCTTAGCATTTTTAAAAGTCTGATTTATTAAAGCTAAAACTGCTTTTCTCGAAATTAAATATGTTAAAAATACCTATTTGATGACCTCAGTAAGCTATATGGTATTGGCTAGGTGCTACTTTACAGTACGTTCATTCTACTCGGGACTTCATGCCTAAAGTCAGACGTGTTCACAGATATGTATCAGCTGAACTTGCTTTTGAAAGTGGTTAGATTAATTAACATTTTGTGGATCAATAAAATGTGGGGAGTAGGGGAGGAATGGAAAGCAACTGTAGACACCAGAGACAGTGTGGGATGGGAGGAGGGTGGGAAATGGCAGAGGGTGAGACATAGGGGGGAAATATATATATGTATGTATGTGAGACAAGACATGGGAAACTGTACATGATAACACGCATGATTAGGCCACTATGTGTTGTGTTCTGGATGGGAAATCACACTTTGTATGCTGCGATGATGCTCAGGGAATGAATGTAAAATAAATGAGTTAAACAAAGTCTGGTACGGAAGGCAGATGAGACGCCAGGTAAAATGAGGATAGGGACATCCTGAGCACCTTTCAGTGTAAACGTTGGACAGACACTGGGCTAGCAGGTGGCCGAGGGGGCCGGCTCTCACACGGCCAGCTGTGCTGTTCAAGTCCCTGTCCTCCTGGCCTGGAAAACATGGGGTGGTGCCAACAGATGGAGTAGTGGTTATGTCTCTGGACTCCCACACGTCACAGGGTCAAGTCCCGGACCTGGTGACTTGGAACTCACACATGCGTGTGTGTGTGTTCCCATGATCCCAGGAGAAGAATGGAGAAGGGACTGCGGTGTGGCCAACCCCTCTTGGGGTGATTTCTCACTTCCTCTCTCTCTGGCAAGCTCATGTGCTCTATGACAAAAACCTCTAAAATAAAGAGAAAGAAAACACGCAGGGTGCTGTGCTTGCATGCCTAAATCCCGAGAGGAGAACGGAGGAGAAGGGGTGCGATTGGCCATCCCAGGCTGGGCAGGGTGAGGCAGTGGAGGGTGTGGGGCGGGACTTTCTCTCTCCCTGGTGATTTAAAAACAGTGCTTCTTGGATCACCCCTTGGCCCAGCAGTTAGGGAAAGCCACCTTGGTCTGACTGGAAGGTTGTGTGATTTCTGGTACTTTCTCCCTTCCCGGTGGGGTGTGATACAGGGAAAGGAGCTTCGCGGTCTGGCTTGGGACATGCAGCACCTGCAGTTCGCAGCTACTTCATCCGGGCGTGTGGGCATGGCCAGGCAGACCCGGAAACTCCTCTCTAATCAGAGCCAGCTGGGAGTTCTCATGGCAGAGACCCTGTTTGGGGGGTGACTATTCCCCCCCCCATGGACGAGATGAATAAATAAACTTGAAAGGAAAATCCTTAATTGTGCCAGTGAACCAGAGATAACAGAGAACCCTGGTGAATTTCAGCCTCTGACTGTGGGTGGGGACTGAGGGTCTGCTGAGTGACTGGTGGCTCTCCAGTGTGGTGGTGGCTGTCCCTGGTAAGCCACAGGTTGATGACCTGATGCTTAGAAGGGAGGAGGTAAAACACAGTTTGTGACAACACGGCTGAACCTGAAGACGGCATGGTAGGTGGGGGAACAGGTGCAGAGGGACCGGGCCCACGTGCTCCAATCAGACGTGGGCTCTGAAAGCTGATCTCAGAGAGCAGAGGGTGGCGTGGGGTTGGGGGAGGGAAACGGGAAGACGTTGACCAAAAGACACATAGTTACAGGTAGGTCAAGTTGGAATAAATTTCATCAAGGTGACAGAGTTAAAGATGACAAATGGCAGTTCTTGACAAATGTAAAGATGTGGCTCTTATGTGCTCGTAGCCCGGGTGTTACGGGACTGCGTCCCAGCCCCACCTACCCCTCCGGCCCTCCCGTTTCCCAGCCTAGTCTGCCATTCCTCCTCTTCCCCCAGTCTCCTTCAAAGCAACTGTGTGGGGCCCTTGGGTGGCATATTGGTTAAGGCACTGACTCTCACATGGTTGTCTGTGGTTCGAGTCCCGAACCTGGTGGCTTGAAACTCACTCCGGGTGTGTGTGCCTGTGTACCCAAAATCCCGAGAGGAGAATGGAGAAGATGGATTGTGGCATGGTCATCCCCCCTGTGGGTTGGTTTCTTGCTTTCTGTCTCTCTGGTGAGTACACATACCCTATAGCAAAAAACAAAAACCAACTAAAACAAACAGAAAAACCTCTCTTAGAAAAAATAAGAACGCATTCGTTAACTAGTGGGGTTTGCCTATCCACAATGTGCACGCATTTCAAAACATCTTGTGGTTCACAGCAAGGGTGTTACCTGTCAATAAAAAGCCAGCAGCTCAGCATCTCTGTCCTCTGACTTCCTGCCCCCTCTTATCCCCTGTGATTATGTGGAGTCCATCCGGATAATTCTGGATCATTCTCCATGCCCGGGTCCTTTCCTTGGGCTAGGTGATAGGGCAGAGGTAGTGAGGTGGACCCACGTGGGAAAGGTCCCGGGTTCGTGTGCTGGAACCTCCCAGCGTGCTGGGAGCCTGTGCGTGTGCTGCGCTCCGGGCCAGCGGGGATGGGAGTTGTCACGGGGAAGACCCTGTGGGGTGACTACCGCCCTCCGTCTCTCACGGAAGAGATGAGCAAGTACACTTGGAAAGAAAAGTCCTTGACCCACTGGGCCTGCGAAGCTCCTTCCTTCCAGCACGGGAGGTAACATGGCCCAGGCTGCTGGGCCTAGGGCGTGGGTGCCTTTGAGGGAGGCGTTATTCTGTCTGTCCCGTCCATCCTGGCCGGCCCTAGAGTTTCACCTTGGGGGCCATCCCTGTGGTCTGGTGGATGAGGGAGCTGGATCCCACTATCGCTGACTGGTTCGAATCCTGACCCCAGCAGCTTGTAAACCATGACGGGCCTGACAGGGCGGAGAAATGGGGAAGTACGACCAAGCCCAGCAGGTGTGCTTCCCCCTCCCTCTCCCCCTTGCCCTGACGTGTGCACATGCCGTCTGGCAACTAAGAAAACTCTCATTTTTCTTTTTTTCATTTCTTCTCACCTTTCTCCTATCTTCTTCCTTTCTTCTCTCGCTTTTAACATTTAGATTTTAGTGTTTGCAGGTGGTACGTTCTCCTGGTTCAGACGGGAAAGTAACACAGCACTGAAGTGGGAGGCGACACCCGGGGCCTGCGGTCCAGTCCACACTTCCCCTGTGGCCCAGACCCCTGGTGGAGGGAGGAGACTCTGTCCTCTGTCCATCCAGGCCACCTGACTTCTTCCTAGCCCCACCTACCTAGCCATCTGGCCCTCCCATCTCCCAGCCCACTCCACCATCCTCCACCACCCACACCCCAGTCTCTCGTCACCCCAAACGAAAAGGCAAAAACCACACCCAGCAGTGGTACTGAAAGTTCCCGTCTGCTCTCATTCACGTGGGGGTCATGGATAGCCCCTCTCCTTGCTCACCCCACAGTGAGCATTCTGCCCATTTCTTACTCTGGACCCATCTTCTTCCTTACTACAGCCCAGAGGCGTCCCGTTTGGTGCAGAAGGTTCCTCACAGGTCTCTTGTGCCAGTCACCTAGAACCGTGAGAGGTCGGCCTCATTTATTCAAGATGGGCAGACGGGCGGACAGCCGGCTGTCTCGGGACGAGCGTCCTTACAGAGCTGCTGCAGGAGCCGCCTACCCGTGCGCTTCCCCTGTGTGAGGGCCACCTTGGGGTAAACCCCAGGGGTTAGAGCCGCGTGCCGAAGAGACAGGCAGTGGAAGTCTGCTGGGTTTTCATTGCATCTTCCTCCACCGACAAGGCAGAGCCCAACAGCCTCCCCGGAGGAAGCCTCGACTGCAGCCGTGCAGACCGGCATGTGGAGCGCTCCAGGGGCTTCTGCTAGCAACAGAGGCCTGCTGTGGGCAGCAGGAGACGGTGGGACACGAGCATGCCTCGAGCTTGCGCAGCTGGACGTGTGTATCCTACACACGTGGCCTGTGTGTGGCCTGCACCCGCTCTGTGCCTCCGAGAAGCTGCTCACAGAGCTGGGGCCTGGGGTTTATTATCCATCCCAGGTGTCTAGGCAGGAGCAGGGAGCAGGGGCCCCTCACACGGGCCCATAGGTCCCCTCGTAGCTAAACGGGGGAGGAACTGAGCAGTTCCTGTCCTCAGGGATCCAGCGCTGGACAGAGTTGGGGCCACTCTCCTGAGGCCACACGATGACAGTGTCTCTGGATGCCAGGGATGGGTCCTCTGGGAAGAAGTTGAAGGGCCGGAGCAGGAAGCCCACAGAGTTTCCAGGGGTGGCCGTGTTGGGGATGTCCTCGGAGTGGGGGATGTGCAGGAAGCCCACCGTCACCCAGGCCACCAGGTCCTGCGGGAGAGGCATGGGCAGGGAGGTGCTGAGGACTGGCCTGGGAGGTCACTCGGACCTTTGGGCACTTTCAATCATGCTTAGAAACTTCCCGAAATCCTCTCTCAAGCCCCATTTCAGAGACGGGCAGGTCTGTCGTGATGTGTGAACTCGCTTTCCACAGAGCGAGCCCCTGCCCTGGGACCGGGACAGATCGAGGAGAGGGTGGTTGGGACTCAGGGTGAGGAGGTTGGTGGGCTGGCCCAAGCCAGGCAGGGTTGGGGACAGGACCAGTACCTGGTTCTCAATGTTCTCGTTGTTGTGCAGGAACTTCTTGAAGACCACGGGCGGGTCCCAGGGGTCATTCTGGTTGTAGATGCTGCTGCTGCACAGCTCAGACTCCCGGTACCGGGTCACTGCCAGGGGGTACCTGTGGGCACAGGAGAAGCCGGGGCTCGGGGCTCTGGGCTGGCCTCCCACTGCTCCCAGGGAACACCTGCAGGGCCAGCGATGGGGAAAGGTACTCCCCTCCCCAAATGAGAGACCATTTGCTGGGAGCCAGCAAGACTGACCACTGTCAATCATCTCTGGGCTCATCTCTGTTCTGCACTTCCCACCCCAAACACACACCCAAATACAGACCACACAGACACAGACTCTCCTAGATGGGAACAACACAGAGACACACACCACCTCCGAGGGGAGCCCTGCCCTGGCCTCCCTGGCCTCCTCACCTCGCCCAGGTAATCCCCTGCTCTTCCTGCCAGCCCGGGGGCAGCACTTGGTCAGCCATGGAGTGGATCTGCAGGCGGTAGCTGCGCTTGTGGCCCCAGGGGTTCTCCTTGGGGCTGGTGAAGAGCAGGTATTTGGGCAGAGGCCGTCTGAAGCGGAAGGCTGCCTGGCGCTCCCGGAAGTACTGCGTCCGGAGGAGAGTGGGCTGCACCACGTGGTGTCCGGGACTCCAGGGGTTGGTGATGTTCTCCAGCTTCATGCTCAGTGTCTGGAAGCTATTCCTGGTGCCTGTGGGTGTGCAGGGAGAAGGAGAGTCAGGCTCCAGGGCAAAACCTCCTTAGCTCAGGGATGTCGACCTTAGCCACAGCGGACAACCCGATGTCAGGAATAGGAGCCGTAGGGTTTGCACTGCGTTAGCTGCAGGAGGAGGAAGGGGTTAAAACAGAAGACTAGAGGATCTGGAAGCCAGCATGCGGTTGGCGATCCTGTTACCGCCCTGGGCAGTCCCTCTCAGGAGTTGTGCCGTCTGCTTGTGGTGGCTGGGTTCTAGAGCATGGGCCCGTCTCTCTCTAGGCGTCTCTCTCTCTGGTGCCTTCTGCAGCTGGTGGCCCATTCTGTTAAGGGGTCTGATGTTAGTCTAGCCTGTCATTACACCCATGTCATCCTTTTCGGGTGACCTCGTCCTCCAGGAGGCACTCTGAGTATTTCCAGATGCCACTGCACTCCCTCTCGAAGTGCTAGGCAGTGCCATTTCCTGTCCTGGGCTATGCTCCTTCCTCATCCCATGTACATCTTTCTGCCCAACCCCTACAGGGCTCAACACAGCCCTGGGGCAAGGACAGGGTCCACCCGTCACAGCCAGGGTGACTCTGGGTTCTATTCTCTTGCACCACTTGTCAGGGGCTCACAGCTTCTCATTTCGAGTTGGGCACATGGTCCTCGGTTTATGCCCCAAGGGGTCTTAGCGCCGTCGTCCCGGGAGTACATTATGAGTCTGATGCAGACGGTGGGCCGGGAGGCCTCATCTGTTCTGGGTCCTACCTGCCACGTCCAGGTCAACACGGTAATGCACCAGGTGAGTGTGCATGTTGCCCAGCAGGTGGGTGTGCAGGCGGGTGCCGTAGCGCAGCCCCTCTGGGGTGTAGAAGGTGGCGTGCACGTAGCCCGTGGCGTGCATCTTGGCCTCCATCACCCCATTGGGGTGGAAGATGAAGTCCCAGAGGTAATCGTAATTGTAGACAGTTGACGTTGTCCGCAGGACCAGCACCTGGCCCTGCAGCCCCGCGTAGAAATTGAAGCCTCCGCTGAAGTTGGAATCAAAGTGCCGCCGGAGGGGCACCCCCGTGGGCATCTCGAAGAGGCAGAGGGCACGGGGGTAGCGGACAGGCCCGTCTGCGTCGTAGTAGTGGAGGGCGTCCAGGAAGGTGGCTGTCTCCGGGCAGTCGACGCCAGGGGCTAACTCGTGAGTCACGCTGCCCAGGCCCCAGCCCACGTCCACGTACTTGGTCTGCATGCCGGCGGGGGTGTGTCCTCCGTACAGTGCCACGGCCTCCTGCACGCTGACCTCGTAGGCAATGCGCTCGCTGCCAAAGCGCACGTTCAGGATCTGCAGCCCGGACGAGGAGCGCAGCCGGAAGGTGAAACTCCAGCCCCCGTAGGTCACAGCGTTGCCATCCAGCCTGAAGCGGGGGCCGTGGGGCTGGACCAGCCGGGGGCTGCTCGCACTGACGGGGCTGGGGAAGTCTCCCCGGGGCCTGTAGGAGGAGAAGAGGGGCGCCTCCTCTGCGTGCTCGTCCCCTTTGCCCTTGGGCGGTTGGCCCCGCAGCACCTCCACGTCCACCTCTCCATCAGCATATTTCCGGGCCAGTTCTTCCGGGCTCCTGTAGAACTTCCCGTTGTACCAGACCTGCTCCACTGCCCAGCGCCGGGAGTCTGTGCTCCCGTGGTCCACGAGGAGCTCCAGCCCAGTGGGGTGCAAGAAGAAGCCTTCCACGAAGCGCTGTAAGATAATCCAGCTGCGGCGCTGCCCGGAAGCCAGACCACGGGGCGCCACGTCGGTGAAGGTCAGGCATTTGCCCTGGCAGTCTTGGAATGAGAAACCCGTGGTGTCCAGGAAAAACTGATGCAGGGGCTTGGTGGCCTCCTGCAGGGTGCGGTAGAGCAGGGAGTACTCTGCGGCAGAGACAGGCCTGGATGCCCAGGAGGGCTGGCGCCCCTGCTGGGGGGACAGCACACGCATGTAGTGAGGCTGTGGCAGGGGGCCCACCACAAACTCTGTGACATTAGGATGCTCCTGGGCTCCGAAGAAGATGACCACTCGGGCCTCCCGAGCAGGTTGCCTTTCACCCTCATCCAGAAATTTCAGCACGTGCTGCTTCTTGGGCAGCAGCATCTCAATGAGGAACACGGAGTTCTTAGCCATCGTCAAGGTCTTGGAAGGCTGCAGCCCCAGCTCCTTCCTGGACCAGAGGAAGCTGTGCACAGTCTTCAGCTCTTGGGCACTCAGGTCTGCAAACACTCCGGCCTTTCCGGGTAGGGTCCATGGGGGGCGCTCTGCTGCAGCCACCTGCAGCACCAGGATGACAACCACGGTCCAGCTGAGGGCCAGGGTCTCTCGCCCCATCACTCTGGAATGTGGGAGAAGACAGGACTTTAGCTATTGTACGGGAGAAAATGGATTTCCATCAAGCCCAGCCTGGAGATGCAAAGGCCCTCAACTTCATGGTTGCCCTGGACTGAGCTTCCTCCCCGCTTCTCCCAGACTAAAAGTGTTCATCAGGTAGGCTGGCCCGGTGCACAGCTGCCCACCTCCCTATCTGCTTCCACCGAGCCCGACTCTGCTCTCTTTGCCCCACTGTAAACCTCCGCGCCCTGTGGACTTTCTACCCAGACACTTCCTTGTTTTTGTGCGTTAGCTCAGCACGGTGGAGCATCGGGTTCTCATCTGTCTACCTGGAGATTTCTCAGCCAGGGGCACTGTGAGTCACGGCTGCCCAGAGCAGTGCCCTAAGTGCTTACTGTGTGCTGGGCGGGGTGATGACTGTATGGACAGCAAAGCTGCATTCTTTTTTGTATGTCTCTATATACATACACACATATACACACACACATATATGTATATGTATACATTTTATTGGTTTATTTCTTCCATGAGAGAGCCTGAGAGACCAGTACATCCATCGTCAGGGGCTTCACGCCATGCTCCATGCCTGGTCTCAGTCAGCCCAGATCATGGCATGCACCCATCCAGCCTGCATGGGGAGGCCCCCGGGTGTGAACCCAGGACCTTCCCATGTGGGTCCAGTTGTGTTAACACTGTGCCACTGCCTGGCCCAACAGAATGCTTTTTACATAGACAGATTTTGAAATTCAGTGTCGAAGTTCGAAGTGTGGGCTCTGGAGTAAGTCCTAGTAAGTCCACTTCTAGGACTGCTGTGTGACCTTAGGCCTGTTGCTTTAACCCTCTGGGCCCAGCAGTGCACTGGCTGCTGGTCATAGTGTCTCTTAGTTTCTCCAGACCCTAAATCATCTTGGTGCTGCTGGGCCTCTGCCGGAAGGCTGCTTTCGTCTCTGCTCAGAGAAGAGGAGCTGCCTTCGCTGCCTCTCACCGGCTTCCTAATGGCCTGGGGTTGGCTGGAGAGCCTCGCTCGGGATTCCTGCTTGTGCCTAACTACAGCTCCCTCTTGCAGTCAGGGCCCGAGGCCCATCTGTGTGGCCGACGGTGTGGGTGCAGGAAGGCATGTGGGCTGAAGGACTCAGAGGGACTCCTGCTTTCATAGTCAATTGCCTTTTGCCCCCCAAATCAGAGGCCCTGGAGATCAGTCTAGAGAAGACTCTCTCCTGTGCAGAGACACAGAAAGGATTCTTCCTTCCCTGGGACTCAGAGCTCTGCCTGCCAGCTCCCTGCCCAGAGCCCTGCTTGCAGGAAGGACATGGGTATGCGGTGGGGGATTGCAGGGTGCATGTCACCTGGAAGCTCAGCGGCACTATTGACATTAGGTGTCACTGAGGTCAGGCACGCTTCACTTGGGCACGTCTGGAGTGAACAGGCTTTGCTTGGCTGGATGGGAGCCCGGCCACCCTGGGCTCTCTTATCTTTTGTTTTTGTTCTTTTTTTAAAAAATGTATTTCATGTCACAGACCTACTTCCCAAATGTTGGAGATACAGCCCATTCGTTAGTCAGAGCCCCGTTTTCCTCGTGGAGTCTTCCCTCCAGAGAAGCTCAGCCTCATGCTGTCCCTTCCCACCGATGATGCTAATTTCAGCCTCCTTCTGAGGCTGGCTGAAACCCTACACTGCCAGGCCTTTCTGGTTATCCCCACTTGCTGTCCCCTTAGCACTTTGGCATTTAAGTCGCATATTATTGATCAGCAGATCAATAAGTGGTGTTTGTGAGCCCGCTCCATCACCTGGCAAGGTGGCGGCCCCCAGGAGCAGTGGCTCTTCTTCCCTGGCTTTCCGACCCTGGCAGTCACAGACTGGTCTGAGCAATCCCCTGTGCTGCCCGGCCCCGCCCCCCTGTGATCTCCGGCCCCTGTGCTTTTGTCCTGCAGCCCACGGTCAGGGCCCATTGCTGGGCCACCCCAGAGCTGCACTCCCTGCCTTCTGTGCACACGCCTGTGCACACGGCTCCCCACTCCACGTCCCGTAGCAGAGTGGTGCCAAGTGGTGTGCTGGCTGCAACCCATGAGCCCACAGCCCACAGCCAGAGCCCATGGTCCCCGTCAGGGCCACCGACGTTGCACACTGGTTGGGAAAAGCGCATCACGGCATGTCGCCTCCATCAGACCTCAAGTAGTCTCACTGCCCTCCTTTCCCCCGGCAGCCTCCCATCCTTCCCTGTGACTCCAGCTTTGCCGGTGGAATCATGCAGGACAAAGTCTGTTCAGATCCGCTTTCCTCACCTAGTGATACACACCTACGATTCCTCTGTCTTTCCCGGCTGGGGCTCTTTTTTTTTTTGGAGAGGTTTTCACTATAGGGCGCGTGCACTCTCGTCAGACAGACAGAGAGAGACAGAGAGACAGAAAGCGAGAAATCACCCCTGCAGGGGGGATGGTCACGCCGCAATCCCTTCTCCTCCATTCTCCTCTTGGGATCTTGGGCACGCACACACACGCGCCCGGCGTGAGTTTTAAGCCACTGCGGTGAACTGCGGTTGACTACGTGGGAGTCCAGCAACATAGCCATTACGCTAACTGCTGGTTCCCTGGGGCTCTTTTTTAAGCCATGTTTTATCTCCATATTTCTATCTGCTTTGCCGAGAAGGGAGCTGTGGAAGGGGCCTTACCTCTCCTGGTGGTACTGCCCTCTGTTCCAGTGTCCAGGTGGGCACGATGGAGGTAGGTGAGGGCCGTGACACTGCAAAGGAAGAGGAGCCTCCGTGGCCTCCTCCTTCACCCACCTCCTCCCCGTCCCTCCTTTCTCATCCTGGCCTGTTGGTGCCTGCGACCCAGAGCACCCTGGAGCCCTCTGCACCTGACTCTGGGCTCTGGCCCCGGCTCCCTGGCCTCCTTCCTCTCGTCAGTCCTGCCCCTCACTCCTGCTCTTCCTCCCTGGCTTCTCTCCCCTTCCCAGTTAATCGTCCTCAGTGCATCTCAGATACCCCACCAGAACGTACCTGTGCTGCGCTCCCATTCCGTGCTGCCAGCCTTTGTCCCTGAGCTGATCCTTGACTCCTTAAGTCCATGGACCCTGCCCTGCAGGGAGGGGCAGAGAGTGCTACGGCCGGCAGACCAACATGGGGACCTGCGGCTCAGGGGATTCCTCTGGGGGCAGAGGCAGTGGCGTGAGGTGGAGTGGGGGCTCTGGCTCCACCTGTGTCCTGGTTCCTGTCTCCTTTATCTGTCCTGTTACAGTGCCATCTTCCACAGGAATTGTGCTAGACTTCCCTGTTCAGAGCTGAGTAATGCCATAATCTATGAATGCAGGTGGTGCTTTCAGAGGCCAGAGATAAGGACAAAGGGAAACTTACCTGCTGGAACTCTTACCTAAAACGAATGCATGGGCCAAGTGGGGCCTTCGGATACAGCGCCACAGAGGGGCCTACTCATCTGCAGAACAGGGAGCAGACCAGAAGTGTTTGGGAGAGGGAAACCACTGGGTTGAAAGTCTAGAAGTCTTATTAGCTATCTCTGGGAACCTGGTAGGATTCAGAGGGGAGAGAGGACTTGGAGGGGGAAAGTTGGTCAGGATGAGGGACAGGAAACCTGTACAGGGAGGGGACAGTACTGAAGTGGCTTGCTCAGGGTAGGAAGGGCAAGCGTGGGTGATGGAGGGAACTCCTGATGAGAGGAGAAAAAGCCGAGTTAGGAAAAGTGCATGGCTTGGAAGAAAAAAGTGGAATGTATCTCCTTGCTCACCAAGACTGACTGCTTGGGGATTGCTTGCTATGTTGTGGTGATATGAGCTTTTTGTTTTTTTTCTATCCTATCTGCTACTTGAACTGAAAGTCATTTCAGTTTTTATTGGCAGCTAGGTGGAGAAAAAAAGAAAGCAATTACTCAACTTGATACTTGCTTGAAATTTGAGAAGGTCTTTGGTGTCTTTAAGGAAAGTGGTTAGCCTTAAACAGTAAAACAATGACAGGTACAATGATGGTGGAAGTGTCTTACCCTTAATGTTCTGGAGAATTGGAGTAGTGTGTTCTCAGTTGTGAGCTTCACTGATGGAGAACCAGCAAGAGGAGAAAAGAGTGTCCTAGGGACAGCCTAACTTGGAGAAGTACAGTCTGCTCCCATTCCACACAGGACATCATGACAAAGTTAATGAAGTTAGGTCAGATTGGGAGAAGATACTTGTAAAGATTAGAAGGGAAAGGGACCATATGCAAAAGAATGAATGTGACTCTTACCTCAGACACAAAAACAAACTCAAAACAGATCAAAGACCTAAATGTAAGAACTAAAAGTATCAAACTCTGAAAAGAAAACAAGAAGTAAATCTTCTTGACCTTGTGTTTGGAAAAGGCTTCTCAGATGTGACCCCAAAGCATAATAACCAAAGAAAAAATAGATAAATTGGACATCATTGGCATTAAGATTTTGTGCTTCTAAGGACACCAACAAGAAAGTGAAAAGATAACCCACAGAATGGGAAAAAAGTATTCGCAGATCATATATCTGGTAATAAAATTTTATCTCCCACACATAAGGAACAGAGTTCACATCTGGTTTAGGAACAATGTGTAGCACCCACTGCCCCAATTATGACAACCAGAAATGTTGTCAGACATGATCAGATATTTCCTGGGAGGCAAAATTGCTCTCCCATTGATGAGCACTAGTCTAAAGCTTCATGACTTGTCCCTGAATGGGACAATGGCCCCCAGGCTCCCTAATCTCCTTTTGAACCCCTCTAACCTATCCTTTAGGATTTTGCTACAACAGGAACCTGACCACATTCCTCCCCACTTGAGTAGGTTCCAGTTGCCTAAAAGCGTTCCAGTTGGATAAAGCGTAAGTGACTTAATTCAACCTACAACCTCTTCCAGCCCAGGCCCACTCTTCCCTTTGTCCTTCTCTCGTGTTCCTGCATTTCACATCAGACTGGGCTCCCTGGAGCCACTTGGTCTTTGTTGCCTTGTTTCCTTTCTGAAAAGCGTGTGCTCGCTCTCTCTCCTTACACTGTAAACTCTGTCTTCAGAGGCTCAGCAGTGAAGCCCCCTCTTCCAACCCCCGCCATGGCTGCCTTGTCCCCATTGCTTCCTTCTTATTATGCTTGTCTTTGTAAATGTCTGCTCACA